TTGTATTTGTGTGCATGCAATTCCTTGATTCACTATGATGGCAACACCTCCGGATGATGTCATGGCATCAACACGGTCCTTTCGGAAAATAACATATTTACGAAGAAAATTTGCGTGTTTTGAATTAAGGTGTGTTTCTTGTACACACAGCACTTTTGGTGAGTGTTCGTGTAAGAGTTCTTGGATGTCGTCAAGGTTTCTTAGAAGGCCCCTGACGTTCCATTGTATAATTTGAGTGTTCATGGTGAATGTAAAATAAGGCTGTGTGTACGAAAAGCGAGTGGCTGTTTAGACGGGGAGTTTGAGTTCACTTAACAGGGCCGTCAACAGGCCCTGTTATTTGCTTTTTTGTTCTCTTGGCGCGCGCCAAGGAGCCACGCCGCTCTTTCGGCACCAAGGGTGCCGACGTATCCATTGCCTCCTCGGAGGCACTGGATGCCCGCACGTGCGGGCTGTCAGTTCGGATTTTGGGCCTCGCCTGGTGAGGGGAGGCCTTGAGGCCCGAAGACTCTGGAGTCTCCGGTCTCTGTTCGGGAGTAGGCGGTGTAGCCTGGGCTACAGCCGCCTTGGGGGCAGGTGCCACAGCCGACGGCTCGCTCTGCGCGGGTCGAAGGGGTGGCGAGGGCTGGTGCGGCGGTGCCCCCTGACGCGCCGCATCAGCGTATGTAGGTCCATAGAATGGAGCGACTCTTCGCCGTGCTTCCTTAAACGTAATGTTCTCCTTCACCTTCAATGTAATTATTTCTTTTTCTTTTTTCCAGTATGTGCAGGAGCGTGAATATGCGGCATGGTTTCCTTCGCAGTTTACACAGTGTGGCGGTTGTTTGCAGTTCTCAGACACGTGGCCTAGGACTCCACATTGTGCACAAGTCTGGCGACCACGACAGGTTTTAGAGCCATGGCCATACTTCTGGCATTGAAAGCAACGACGAGGGTTTGGTATATACGGCCTGATAGACGTCTTTGTGTACCCTGTTTGAATAGTAGTTTACTGGATGCAAACGTGAGTATCAAGTGTTTCGTTGGTATTTCCTTATTATCTCTTCTGATGATATTCTCTGTACATTATTTACATTTTGGCTCTTCCACCCTTCCAAAAGTTCAGTCTCGGTGAGCTCAAGTAAGTCTGCATCAGATACCACTCCGCGAGTGATGTTCATGGATCGGTGTGGTGTTACGGTGATCGGTACGTCACCAAACGTTGAGGGGCTGTTTAGCTTTACAAATTGTGCTTTGTCCCGAATTTCTAGAAGAAGGTCTCCGCTCGCCATTTTGGTTACTTTGTATCCAGCTCCGAGAGTTTCCGTAAGACACCTGGCAACTACGAAAGGAGATACGGTCCTGGCTTGCTTTCCGGTTTTTTCGCAGTGAATGACGTGGAAGTGGGGAAAAGTTTCTATTGGCTGGTTGAAGAGATTTATGTCGTCGGTGCGTACCCGCTTTAGGCCGGTACGATCAGACAGTTGAGGGAATGCTCCATGCATGCCGGTCTTATTTTTGTTCAGCAGCATTGGCGGCCACCCACCACGGAGCCCAACAAGGGGACGCTGCAAGTTTGCGGGTGCTGAAAGCTTGCAGACGTCAGCCGTACAACACTGCCATAACCCAATGCGCCTAGACCAAGGTAGGCTATTTGCACAGGGTTAACCCTTGCCGCCAGGAAAATTGGAAGTAAACAGAAGAGAGAAGTAGACAGGAAAGCTAAAAAAGTAAGAAAGACGAAGATGTAGGGAGAGAGAGATAGGAAAAGGCGACTGCCGATTTCCCCTGGGTGGGTCAGCCCAGGGGTGCCGTCTACGTGAAGCCGGGGCCAAAGGGGTGTGTTGCCTCTGCCGGGGGGCCTTAAAGGTCCAATCACCCAGCATCGGCTCAACCCCCAGGATCCCCTTTTCCCCGGACACGGCAAAGCCACGCACGGCTAGGCGTGGGAGGGAGTCAGAACTCCCCTGTTAGCTCGGGTCCGTGGTGTCGCTACACACCAAACGCCTACTTGCGCAGGCGCCCCTGCGGGGTTTTATTTTCTTAAATTTCTCAAGGTTTTCCGCTGTCGGCGAGTTCCGCAGCAACCTCCATGCCCTGTTCTGTTCCTTTCGCGCATTCTGACACTCAGTGTTCCACCACGAAATGTGTCGTTTGCCGGGCAGTCCAGATGTTTGTGGAATGCACTTGGTTGCTGCGTCAGTAAGAAAAGCCGTGAAGTACTGCACAGCTTCATCTATGCCTAATCCGCATATGTCAGTCTAATTTAAGTGAGTAAGCTTTTGAAATTGTTCCCAGTCGGCTTTGTTTACCAGCCATTTGGGAACATGTGGAGGACATCCATTTATTATTGGTGTACTCAAAACTAAAGGGAAATGGTCACTTCCGTATGGATGATTTATGACTTTCCACTGAAGTAATGGTACAAGTGAAGGAGATGCGATACTGAGGTCTATGGAAGAGTAAGTTATGTTGGCAAAGTTATAGTATGTTGCCTCTTTCCTATTCAACAGACAAGCACCCGATGAAATGAGGAATTGTTCAATGAGACGACCTCGTGCATCACAGCGAGAGTCACCCCACAGACCATTATGTGCATTCAGGTCCCCAAGGACCAAATAAGGTTCAGGTAGTTCGTCTATTAAAGACTGGAATTGAAGTTTTTCAAGACGGTGGTGCGGAGGTATGTACAAAGAGCAGACTGTGACAAGTTTGTTTAGAATAACTGCTCGGACAGCCACCGCCTCGAGGGAAGTTTGAAGAGGTAATTGTGTAGATGCTATACCTTGACTAACTATAACCGCTACACCACCGGATGGTGGCATGGCATCATCTCTATCCTTTCGAAAGATTACGTAGTTACGTAAAAAGTTTGTGTTTGTTCGTTTTAAGTGTGTCTCTTGTACACACAGCACTCTTGGATTGTGTTCATGGAGGAGTTCTTGTAAGTCATCAAGGTTTCGAAGAAGGCCTCGGATGTTCCACTGTAATATTTCTGTCTGCATATTTAAACAAGAGAGATGCTGCTGTGTGTACAAAGAGTTTCCTGTGTTGGAGTGAGCTCGTTAATTCAGGTGCAAGGACGGTCGTCCGGCCCCGTTGTTGGTTTTTTTATTTTTCTTGGCGCGCTGCAAGGAGGCGCGCCGCTCTTTTGGTACCAAGGGTACCGTTGTATCCATTGCCTCCTCAGAGGCACTGGATGCCCGCACATGCGAGCTGGTGGTTTGGATTTTAGGCCTCACCTGGTGAGGTGAGGCCTTGAGACCAGAGGACCCTGGAGTCTCCGGCCTCAATTTGCTTGGAGGCGGATTAGACTGAACTACTGCCGCCTTGGGGGCAGGCGCCACAGCCGATGGCTCGCTCTGCGCTGGCCGAAGGGGTGGCGAGGGCTGGTGCGGCGTTGCCCCCTGACGCACCGCATCAGCATATGTTGCGCCGTAAAATGGCGACACTCTTCGTCTTGCTTCTTTGAATGTGATGTTTTCTTTGACTTTAAGAGTGATTATTTCTTTTTCCTTCTTCCAGTTAGGACACGAACGCGAATACGCGGCGTGTTCTCCGTCACAATTCACGCAGTGAGGCGTAGTAGCACAGTTATCAGATGGGTGGCCGTGGCTACCACATCTTGCACAAGTTTCCTGACCCCCGCAGTTCTGCGAGCCATGACCAAATCGTTGACATTTATAACACCGTCTTGGATTGGGAATGTAGGGACGGACAGAAAGTTTGATGTAGCCTGTGTCTATAGATGAAGGCAGTGTGCTAGATGCGAAAGTGAGTATTAAATGTTTGGTAGGTATTTCTTTGTTGTCGCGTCTGATGACGATTCGTTTCACATCCGTGACATTTTGCTCTTTCCACCCTTCAAGCAGTTCCTGTTCAGACATTTCAAGAAGGTCTGCTTCTGAAACAACTCCGCGTGTGGTGTTCATTGATCTATGAGGTGAAACGAATACTGGGATATCACCAAATGCTACGAGACTGCCAAGTTTTTCATAGTGATGTTTTTCAGGCAGCTCAAGGAGAAGGTCTCCGCTAGCCATCTTTGTAACCTTGTATCCTGGGCCAAAGACATCAGTCAGAGATTTCGCAACAAGAAATGGAGATATGGCTCTGGCCTGTTTTGTTGAATTTTCGCTGTGCACAACATGGAATTTTGGAAAGCATTGTCTGGGTTGGCTGAAAATTGATATGTCATCGGTGCGTCCCCTCTTAGGCGGAGGACGATCTAGGAGACGGGGAAATGCAGGTGTTCCCATAGTAGTGTACTTTTTTTCGGCAGCAATGGCGACCACCCACCATGGAGTCCAACCAGGGGACGCTGAAGCACTTAATAGCATAAGGCTGCAGACGCCAGCCGTACATTGCCACTATAACCAAATATAACTACTCAAGGTTGAGTAATTACACAAGGTTAACCCTTGCCACCAGGAAAATTGGAAATAAACGGAAGAGAGTAGAAGACAGGACAGATAAATAGTAAGAGATAAAGACGAAGATGTAGAGAGAGAGAGATAGGAAAAGGCGACTGCCGATTTCCCCTGGGTGGGTCAGCCCAGGGGTGCCGTCTACGTGAAGCCGGGGCCAAAGGGGTGTGTTGACTCTGCCGGGGGGCCTTAACGGTCCAATCACTCAGCGTCCGCTCAACCCCCAGGATCCCCTTTTCCCCGGACACGGCAAAGCCACGCACGGCTAGGCGTGGGAGGGAGTCAAAACTCCCCCGTTAGCTCGGGTCCGTGGTGTCGCTACACACCAAACGCCTACTTGCGCAGGCGCCCCTGCGGGGATCCTTAATATGTCAATTTATATCGCTAGTATAACATATATTGCATTAATAAAACTTATGACATATGTCAATTCTGTTTTTCGTTGATGTGCAACATATTAGTTGAAGTACTTTATTCAGCGAAAATACCTCAAGTAAACTAAAAATAAAAAAAACCGATTTTCCCCTTGGTATGGAAAAAGTTGATGTGCACATGTAAACAATTTACTTTAAAAAAATAGTACTAAAAACTCACTGAGGTCTGTTTTGCCGTCACTGCTGCATATGCTCCACTGGGCCAATGTATGAAGTGGTACAAAGTTGGCCTCGTATTCGCAATTGGGGTTCGACAAGACTCCACGTAAATAAGGTACCAAGTCGGTCGACCGGCCACTGTATGGTCCCAAGAACAAACGCTTCTGGTCATAGTCATTAGCATGTAGGTTGTCCCATATCACTGGGGGCCGACGAAGCACTTCAGTGAGCTCCTGAATTGACTGGACTGTTATTATTTTTGAAACAACTTTGTTCCCTGAAAAGAAAAAAAAGCACTGAAGAGATCAGCGAAGCACAGCATCATCTCATTAGCGCTGCACTACAATGAAAGCAGCACCAAACCCCAAATAAGGTTGAGATGTGAGAAGAAAAATGAGAAGGAAATGTACTGGCCAAGGTATCTTTGAAAAATATAAAGCTTTAGAGCCAGGATGCCTCACAAAAACTATTATTTGAGTAAATTTTACTAGCGAAAACTGACTTTGATGTAGTAGTAAGGTAGAAAGTTGGGCTGGTCAAGAACAGTGTTTGTGCTCGTTGACTGCACAGAGTAGAAAGGATTTTCAGCAACAAGTCCTCAAGAGGAAAGAAAAATTACAATGTTGGTGTGTCATCTTTATTCTGTATTCTTCAGTATTTTCTAGTGGAAATCCTTTTTAGTTGGGGAGAGAAGTTTTCAAGAACATTGTATGTGTGCACATGCAGTGTGTAAGGTGGGAAAGTGCTCCTTCCTTGTTCTTTTTGCCATGCTCAGCCCAACCCAAATACTCATGCCGTGTGTAACAAACTACAACAAGCCCATGTATTACGGCCTCTCTTTAAACCGAGGATTCCTACCTGTCCACATGATGTCTATTCCCGGCATCAGCTTCAGGCCAATGGTATTCAGGTACTCCGAATTCTGAACATTTGGAACAGCCCTGGCAGCACAATATTCTGAGAGAGAGAAAAAAATTGTAATGAGATTCATATAGTAAAAGTTGCAAGTGAAAAGATTACCATCAATAATTACAGCTGAGGTTTTAGTACCACCAACCAATTATTGCTTATGATCTACACTATCATAGGCCCTCAATAGTATCAAGCTTGAGATTAACTTTAACCACCAGGTGTTTCCTCACTGAACACCTAACCCGAATTTGCCTCCATTGAAATGTGGCCACAATGGCTGGAAATAGAATCAGTGTCCTTGAGCTCTGCAGTGTGACACTTACCGGCTATAATACCAAGGCGTGCATGTTAATCTTCAAAACAGTAGCCACATATAATAATGTCTGGGCTTTTACATCTCAAATACACAATCAATTATGAGAGATGCCATAGTGGGGGGGTCCGGAGATTTTGACAATGTGGTGTTCATTAACATGCACTGACACTAGACAGTATACGGGCCTCTACCTTTTCGCCTCCACCGAAATGCGATCGCCACAGCTGGGATCGAACCCACGACCTTCGAGTTAGCAGCCGAGTACCCTAACCACTGTTAGACCGAGGCGCAACCTACTTATAAGAGTTTTACCACTAGAATAGCATCTCATCTTGTCATACATTTCATATCTCAGTCAGTTGCGTTCATTACAGTCAGGTAATTTCCACCTGGTTGTTCGGAGCGGTGCAATATCACGAGGGCATTCATGGCCACCACCGCTGTTTGCACATAACACAGAGCAGGAAGCAGACACTTGCCAGTTGGACAGAATATAAACCTTGGAAAATTCAACTCCTGGTAGACTTCATTGGTGATAGACACTTGGGCGTGTGCAAATGACTGGAAAACCTCTTTGTCTGTCTCGCTGATCTCTGGCTCAATGTCATCAAAAAGGAGAGCAAATGCACCACATCCGAATTGAGCCACCTGCACAATATTAATTAAAAAACCAATGCACAGATTCAAGCTTTGTTTCCTTCTGTCCAGTGCAGCAGTGAAAGCAAGTTGTGCAGAGTGGTGCTACTATCTCTTACCTGCTCTAGCTTCCTCTTGAGGCAGGAGATTTCTTTTGTACTAGAATACGTGATGTCTAGACCAGGTGATAGGGCATAGTAGAAGGTGACCGAGTTTTCCTTAGCTGCCTGGATAAGGTTTGTCAGATGCTCTACAAAACAAAGAAAACAAATGCACTGGAGTAGAAGCCATAACCAAAGAACGAGTAAAATAACTAGCAAGACTAACTCAATTATCACGTGTCGTCTAATAGACAGAGACCACCTTAACACGAATGCATAAGCAAAAAAAAAGACTACAAATAGAAAATAAAGGCACAAAAAACATAGAGGAAAAAAAGATTACAAATTTTACAAAGAACCTAAACAAAGCAGCAGTTTTTCCAAAGCAAAAAATGCTATAGAAGCTTTCTTAAGTTGCATATGCCTAAATGACAGTAATATGCATTGCAATTTTAAATTATGACGGTGCGGCAGTAACAGCAAAATGAAGCCATGAAAAACGTTGAAGTCATTGGTTTGTTGGTCTCATGTGGCTGTGCCCAACAAAAATCATGCCCCTTGCTTTCAACAGCATTTCAACACACAGCTCGACAAGACGCTGCCTCGGTAGAGCTTCTCCTACACATATATAGGAGAAGTAATTGTACATGACAAATGAAGTTGCACACAATAAATTCAAAAAGAAAAAAAGAATTGCCACTCGTCAAAAGTGTGGTTATCCAGTTCCAGAGCTAAAAATATGCTGAAATCAGGATGCTCTGCCATCGAAGTCAACGCAAAGTGACTTAACTGACAGCGAAGTAAAATTATAATGCAAGAACAAACATGAAGTACAGTAAAATCTCGCTGATTCGAAGCCACTGAGACTGTGAGAAATCATCAAATTAAATGTTTTTGAATTAACGAAACATACAAAACATGGGATGCAAGAAACTAAGAATTATTCAAAGTAATCAAAGCAGGAAGGGCCTCGCTACTGCCAGCGCAGAAAAAAAAAATCCATCTTTACTGCAACACAGTAGTGACACACAGGCAGCATGTCTCCTATTCCTCACAGTGTCAGCATGTCATCATACAAGCATTTAACCATTTTTTTTTTTTCTGGTAAAATAAAGAATTTATTGATGGCTAGTATGACGAATAATAATATCTGGGGTTTTACATCAAACAACCATGACATGATTATAAAAGACACCGTAGTGGAGGACTGGAAATTTTGACCATCTGGTGTTCTTTTACGGGCACTGAAATTGTGCAGTACATCGACCTCTACCATTTCACCTCCATCGAAATGTGACCGCCGTGGCCGGGATGAGTTATACGCCTGCTTGGGCATAGTGGTCGCGTTTATCTTTGTTTGTGGATCTTAACTTCCACTACTTTCTTGCTTTTTTTTAACAGTTTTATTGTTATGAAGGTGCTCTGTCCAGTCCTGCATTTTTTTGCCCAGTAGTGGGCACTTTTATTTCATACTGCTTAACCATTTAGCCAATCAAATTATGCGAATGCTGTATAAAAACATTGAATTTCCATCAGCTCACATCCGCCCTAACTTGCTAGAAATTTCCATTTTTCGGGACACAGGGTCTTTGGAGAACCTGCACGGGACCAAGATTTTGTGGCAAATAACACCACGAAGGTGCTGGACAGTGGCTCAAAAATGATTCTTCTCAAGTTATCCACTTGCCAGGGCACAGGAGGTGTGCCGCGCACATCCTAAACCTTGTCACTTCGGCGGATGTCGAAAATGCCAGCAACAACGGGACCTACCACGAAATGGCGAGGAGCGTTTTCTCAAAACTGAAGACTCTTTGGAGGAAACAAATCCAGTCTGTGCAGGCAGCCAAAGCAATAAAGGCTACCTTGGGAGGGCAGCTCCCTGTGCCGAATGCAACATGATGGAATTCGTTCTTCAACGCCATGAAGTACATAAAAAAGGCACTGGATATCCTACAACAAGGGGAGCAATATATGTACATGAGCGTTTTGCAGCCAACACTTCATTCTGCTGCGATCTCTGCCGCCGCTGAAATACTGCACACCCCTTGCTAGCAGTCTTCAGGACGCAGTCAAGAAACGCAAGAGACATTTCCTTGTGCCTATCTCCTTGCTGTTCCATCTCATCGCGTCCTCTTTTCCTCTTTCAGGAGTGCATATGCATTCGTACCACGGATTGTCCGCCGTACGAATGCATATTGCAGAGCGTAGGGCTGGAAAATCTCAGACCAATTTCGCCAACTCCATGATAGGTTTCCGTCCTGGACTCTCGACTCAAGATGCTATGCTCAGGATTAAGCATCACCTACTTGATTGGCGGACAACGGACACTAAGGTACTACTTGGACTTGATGTGGAAAAAGCTTTCAACAACCATCCTTCATCCTACAGGTGCTGTCAGACTTGAATCTGGGGCAACGGCTTTTTCTCTTTTGTTAAGGCTTTCCTTGAGGATAGAACGACGTGTCTCAGGTTGGGGAAGATCAAGTCTGCAGTCTTCAAATTGGGTTGTCGTGGTACACTACAAGGATCCATATTCTCACCAATGTTGTTCAATCTGGTGATGTCAAAGCTAGCTAACGTACTGGACACTGTCGAGGGAATCGGCTATACTCTACGCGGACGGTGTCACGGTATGAAGTGTCGGTGGTAGTGACGGAGAGCTTGAGGCTAGGCTGCAGAAGGTGGTAACGCTTAGGGAAAACTGGCTCGTATGGGACTCAAGTGCTCCTCTGAAAAGTCGGAATTGTTAATCTTCAAATCCAAGAAGTTAGGTCATAGGCAGAAGAATTGACTACCGGAAGTTGAGACTTGCATCACAGTTCGTACTAGCGATGGGTCATTGGTACCAAAAGTCTAAGCTATTAGGGTCCTTCGTTTTGTAATTGAAGCAAATGGATCAAATAATATAACTATTCCGCATATTACCAAGTAGACACAGGAGGTCATAAGACTTATACGAAGGATCTATAACAGGCATAGAGGATTAGAAGGTGCGATGCGCTTGGTTCACGCATTTATTTTGTGCCATTTTTCGTACGTAGCTGCTATGCTAAATTGGAAAAAGGGGGAGAAAGACAAATTGGAAGCTTTAATTAAAGCCATTAAGACGGCACTCGGTTTGCCAGTGAGTACATCAAATGATATGTTGTTGCGGCTGGGTTTGCATAATACTCTTGATGAAATTGCCGAGGCTCAGCGTGTAGCACAGAGAAAGCGGTTGTTGGGTACGCCAGCTGGTAGATATATCTTACAGTCAATCGGAGAATCGGTGGCGACTCGTGATGGTGTGCGCTTATACGGGCTAACAGTGAACATTAGGGCTAATACCATGATTCGTCCGTTTCCACGAAATGTGCACCCTGTGCATAATGTAGGGAGGCGAATGGCGAGAGCTAGGGCTTTGTTGCGCGACGCAGAAGATCACGAGGAAGAGTCTGCATTTGTTGCCGCAGCATGGATTAACAGAAAAGATGCTCACTCAGTGGTGGTGATAGATGGAAAGGGGAATGTTCAAAATGTTGCCTCCGTTTATACGAAAGATTCGGGGATCGCTGAGCACTGACCTAGCCCTAATTGATTCGGGACAAGTTTTAGTATTTAGTGACTCTCGCTCTGCAATTAATACCTTCTTGAGGGGAGTTATAAGCGAACTGGCTTACACAGTGCTGCAGGGTAAGGACATCACTCCGCATACCATTACTTGGTTTCCGGCACACACGGGGTCAGTGGAGGGAGCCCCACGTAACCTTAACGAGGTGGCGCCTAGGGAGGCACAAGGATTAGTGCGCCGTGCAATCCCTGAGGCGGCTGAATCTCCCACTCAGGAGTTTAGGGACCAGCTGTTAACTTACAACAATATAACCAAACATTATTACTTAGAGCGCAAGGAATTCTCCTAGCCACATTCTGGACTGAACAGGCCACAGGCGGTTACATTAAGACTTCTGCAGACGTGGACGTACCCCAACCCGGTCGTCATGAATAAAATTAATCCGGACTGCTGGGTTTCAATTTATTGTAGTAAGTGTTAGGGCTTGCTCGATTTTGAACACATGCTCTGGCGCTGCTCGGCCATGGCCGGTGCGGCTTTTCACGGTGAAAAATGGTGGCAGCGAATGCTGCTGCACAGTGAAGGGCTGGTGGACCAACTCAGGTCTGTCCAGAGGGCCCGTGTGGCGGCAGAGGGGCTTGGCCTCTCTGTCCCGACGTGGGAGCAGCCAGCATCAGTCCTGGACTGATTCTCAGGACTTCGATAAAGTTCTCCATACCATACCGTACAAGCCTGTAGATTAGACATATATGAACTACTCATCACTCATAAATTATCATAATGCCAATGTTCACTACAGCAATTTTTGCAGAAAATTTCAGTCACAATACATTCTGTAGTGTGACAACATTTATGGGTAGAACCCTGGCCCGAGAAATGAATTTGCTGATTACAGTGAAATTTACGATCAATATATTAGTACTCTGTGACATTTCCTACAGAATTTATATTTTACAGAACGGTATTTTTCATTTTCAAGGATGACTTCATGGCTCGTCAACATAGAGGGTATGCACTTCCCAGCATCCACTAGAAGTTCTAGCGGCTGGGTTGCCATTTAGAAGGTCCATGCAATTGCAAAAAGCTCTCTGCACGTGCTGCATTAGAGATCTATCGAGTGACATGAATGACTAGAGACCTCCCAAACACCAACTGCACACTGATGCATGGACAGCACAGGCAGCGCATACAAATGGATAAAAGAATGCTACGGCAATAGTGTTATGCCCTTGCTCATCACAGCTCGGTGCATACCTCTTACAAAGAGAAGCCATGCAGCATTTTACTTTCAGCTTAAAAAGTGAATTGCTTCATTAGAGGTTCCATATTCGTAAAACATCGCAAAAAAAGGAGACAGAAAGAAACACACAGGAAAGAGCGATCATATGCTAAAGAATCAGCGCTCTTCCTGTGCATTTCTTTCTGTCTCCACATGTTTTTGCACTGTTTTACAAAGATGAAGCCGTACCAACAAGCTCGAACCCAAAGACCCATTAGAGGTAGATGTAACCATTAAATGACCATGAAGAGAAATTATTTTGGCTGTGCCTAACAATTTTTGCCCCACAAAGCCTTGTTAGGTACAGCCAACTACTGAACTGAACTTTGTTCAAATTTAGAAACAAATAATAAAGGAGCAGACTGCATTTTTATGTTACCCAGTGCATGACTCATTGACACATGTGAAGGTTCGGGTCAGTTTCTCTTGTTTAAACTCCAGATTATACAGCACTAAGCACTTGAAACACAACACTCTGACCACATGACAGCCGGTGCCTTTTACAGCACAGAAGAATGCTGGGCAACCACAAGGGGATCAAAGTCAGTCAATGCACCACAGAGCTTCCTGCTTCCATCTTTTGTCAACATGCAGTCACTCTGACCTCAACGCTCAGCAGTGATGCAAAAAGCACTGGCAGCCATGAACTCTCAATTTAGCATTTTTATCCTTGTATAGTCTACACTTTATGTAATCATGCCAAAAACATGTTTCGATTGTTTTGTGACTCCCCATCACATGTGCTGAATCGCTAAGGTTTAAAACATTATGCTGACCACTGTTGGTTAAATTCCTGACCTTCCTGCTAGCTATGACAAAAAAAAGTACAACACAATGTTATGTTGCACAAGATACACTGAAGAGTTCCCAATTTTCCCAAGTATACATGCGTCCCACGGGCACTTTCTATCGCGATCAGGATCGATTTGAATGCGATCAGAATCGGGTACTCCACCGCCACTTTTGATTGTGATAAGGCTCGATTGGGATCAAGACAATCGCTGTGTGGTTTCCAGATTGTGATTTGATCGACATCTGCACCAAGCTCGACGCCGATTCATTTGGACTGTGTAGCAGAACTATCAAGAATTTTGATCCGGATCCTCTCTGACCACGATCAAAAGTGCCCGAGAGATAGACTGGACAATAAATATTAAAACAACAAAAATAGAGACATAATCGCACAAAATTGAAAGAACTTACCAGCTTCTTCTACTGTGTAAAGCTCCCTCCAGTAAGCTCTGTGCTTGGAGTCGTCTTTCGGTGCGTACATGTAGGTGTTCAGGCCAAACTTCTTCATTCTGAAAGCAAACAGATGTGCATGACTCTTGACAAATTGGTAAAAGCAGCAGCTACCAACCAAATATTCGATGTCATGATAGGAACACTGGTATTTTTTCAGACGCACTGCACTCACCTCTCAAACAAATCTTTGCGTTGTTCAAGGGTCCACGGCCGCCCATAAAATCCTTAAGAGGAGGAGAAAAGTGAAGTTGCTGATGCCAGTGCTAAACATACATTAAAGGATCTGTGACACGCAGAATAAATTTGCAACAATATTCACATCCGATACGAGTATTTCGATGAAATGAACGCATAGCGATAAACTGCACTGCGTGCAGTACAGAACGATTGTGCAAAAAACCTTGTTGACAGTTGGCATTTAACAGAAGGGTGCATAGCGTTGCACTTGCGCTGCGGTATTAATAAAACAACGCAATACTGACACAGATTTCACCTAGCGGTTTATTCTACACATCACACTATACCATCCACTATGACAGACAAACCAACCGCTCGATTTCGGCCCCTACATAACCCGGTTGTTTACGTAATACAACGTCAACACAATCTGGAAAACACCGTGGAAGAGCCTAAGGGATGCACAAGAACAGCGAATGAAACCGTGGTGCTATGTTTCACGGCTGATGATCTGGTAATTCATCTCAATGGCACCACGATTTAAGACTATCTACACGGTGCTTAGCACCACCAGTAGGCCATCCAACGATAACCGACGGATAGCGACAGGCTATGGGGAAATAAAGGTACTACTGACACTTACCTTCAACGACACCGCACAGCATGTTGCGGTTCCTGAAAGTCGCACAGCTGGACGGATCTGCAGAAGGCGTTTCTTCACCCATTTTGTTCCTATGACGGGAAACGCTCACTCTAGAAATCAGATCTCGAAGGAGCTTCCACGCCAGTGTTCGTTCCCTGCGGAAAACATACTAGCCTCAAAATCCCTCCCAGAACGCCATACCGACCGCAGGTTCGTGGTTTAGAGCAGTTGGGCACAGAAGAGCGTTTCGAGAGCGGAAGGAGGCGCCAGCACAGCCACGGCAGAGGCCGCCGAAGGGTGCAGGGAACCACGGCTGCCAATGCAGGGCGCGCAGAAGCCAACCGCACTTGATGCTCGAGTGGCGCGAGAGCAGCGAGTGCGCGAGCGACACGAGCCAGAAGTGCACGAGCACACGCGCTCACCGGAGCTTTTCTAAATCTCCGCTCAAAGGCGCTGCAAGCGTCACTTGTCAGTTATAAAGTGGGAAAAACAAATATCCAAGCCCACAGAAGTAAAACGGGGGCTTAGGCAGGGGTGTCCTCTGTCACCCTTGTTATTCATGATATACCTACAAATATTAGAGGCCAAATGAGAGGGAAGTAGACTTGGCTTCAACCTCTCTTTCGTCAAACAAGGAAAACGCATTGAACAGGCATTACCAGCACTGATGTGGTCGGCCGTTAGCACTATATCATCTGCGTACAAAGAAGATTTGCAAAGATCGATGGACATCTGCAATAATTAGGGAGATAGGTTAGATTTCAGATTCGGTAAGGAAAAATCAGCAGTCATGGTTTTAATGATGATGAAGGTAGTGAGCTTAGAATACAGAAGGCCACGCTAGAAGTAACAGATAAATACAAATATCTGCGCGTATGGATAAGCAATGGGACCGAGTACCTAAAAGAACACAAAATATACGCAACGAAAATTGTAACAGGAATGCAGCAGTGATGAAAAATAGGGCACTGTGGAATTACAATAGGTATGATGTTGTGAGAGGAATATGAAAAGGGGTCAAGGTTCCTGATTTGACGTTCGGCAATGCGGTCTTGTGCATGAGATCAGAAGTTCAAGCAAGATTATAAATTACCCAACGTTGCATAGGTAGCTTGCTTTAGGAGCTCACGGGAATACACCAAATCAGGGAGCACAATTTGATATGGGATGGACATCATTTGAGGGCAGGGAAGCTAGCAGCAAGATAAAATTTGAGAAGCGATTGAGAGAAATGGGGGAGGAGCGTTGGGCTAGGAAGGTTTTCAGCTACTTGTATATGAAGAATGTCGATACAAAATGGAGGAAGCGAACCAGAAAATTGACGGGTAAATACTTAGAAAACAGCAGGGGGCCAAACCAAAAGTAACTATCGGTCAAGAAGAAGGTGAAGAAAACGGAGACTGACATGTGGAGAATTGGCATGATTAAGAAGCCCGCACTAGAGATATACCAAACTTTTAGGTAGGAAATTGCCAAGGAAAGGATCTATGATAATACTCGGGGTAGTTATCTACTGTTTGAGGCCAGGAGGGGAGTATGGTGAACCAAGACATATCGGGCCAAATACGAAGTGGTAGACACGGTATGCATGCAGTGTATGGGAAGAGGAGGAGGAAACTGCCGAGCACTTGGTAATGAAAGGGCTCAGGATGATGGCGCAGAGTTTTTCAAAGCACTGGGCTTTAAGGACAGGGAGGGCAAAATAGACTAAGTCGGTAGAATTAACTAGGAGGAAGTTATCTGGTGGCTAAAGTCAAGGCACAAGTGAAAATCAAAACCATTCATTGCAAAGTACCAGTCCTCAACTTCACTATTTAAAGGGAAAAAAAGATAAATCTAGTTGTTGGTTCATTAAATATTACGGCTAGGTGACGTTAGCCGCTGCCCGCTCTAAAGGGTACAGCCACATCAATCCATCTATCCGAGGAGCAGGTCAGATATTAACACTATGGTACAAAAGCAGTGCGCAACAAGATATGTTTTCCTTTTATTTGCTTTCTTTCCTCTCGTTTTTAGTTGTCAGTGAGATTGACCTAACTGTTATAAACACCATTATTTTTTTTTTCTAATCAATCTTAGGTAGCTTGTGTTGCGGGTTCTGTGGCTGTGGGCCACAGGCAACGTTGTAGTGACGATTGTTATAGCGCGAGAACAAAACGACGACACAGAGACAAGAAGGACACGAGCACTGTGCACATGTCTCTGTGTCGTCGTTTTGAACAAAACGACGACACAGAGACAAGAAGGACACGAGCACTGTGCACATGTCTCTGTGTCGTCGTTTTGTTCTCGCGCTATAACTATCGTCATGCCATACCAACTAGCCCAAGCTGCCACACTTCTAAGGTGTAGTGACGTTGTACACGTTACACGTGTGGTGGCTCCATCATATTACACCTGCTGAACGGGATAGGCGGAAATTTTGAACTAGTTCGGTGTGCTCGTTTAGTTGTTAAACTACCCGAACACAAAGTGGACCTCGTGAGAAGCTACTAGCGAAGTTGGACACGTGTATGTATGGATATTTGTGACACTCCTCTCTTCTAAGAGGAATGTTCGCAGCTCTTAAATCCATGAAACACAATCAGCCCAGGTTCGGATAGTTTCACAGTCGAGTTTTACGTCAAGTTTTGGAAGGTTTTCTTTGGGGGGGGGGGGGGGGGGGCTTTTACCATTTTGGCAAACAGGCTTCTCCGTGAGGGGACTCTGTCAGCAACTCAAAGGGAGGGGTGGATCACTCTCCTGTGCAAGGATGAGACGAGACGCACTGACCTGAGAGCCTAGCGGCCTATCACCCTTCTAAACTGTGCCTACAAGCTCATAGCTAAGCGCCTGTCCGTTCGACTCACTCCAGTACTTACTACTGTTGTGGGTCCGTACCAGGCGTGTTGTGTCCAAGGTAGATCTTGTCAGCTTCATGGCTTCGATATAAGGGATTTCATAGAATGATCGAACTCATGCAACCTGCGTGGAATTCTTTGTTCTTTTGACCAAGAGCGGGCGTTTGATATTATCAGTCATAAGTACCTCTTTAAAGTTTTAAAGCAGGCAGGCTTCAGTGCCAAGTTAATCAGCATGGTCAGGGCTGTCCATTTTCGTCCTAGTTCTGCTGTTGTCATACAAGATCGCGTCTCGGAGCTTTTCGTTGTGTGCCATGGAGTCAGGTAGGGCGATCCACTTTCGCCTGCTCTCTGCGTGCTCGCATTCGAGCCACTATTGCAGAGGCTTTCTAAAGACACCAGCATTGGTAGATTTCCCCTTCCGCCAGGTTCCCTCCCGGTGGCAATGTTCGCCTATGCAGATGACCTCTCTATTGTCGTCCCGGAGGAGGCAACTGTTTGCACCGTCGTGGGTGTTATGGAGGGGTACTGTTTGGCGAGTGGCGGCAGAATAAATACGTCGAAGAGCGCAATCATGTACCTGAACTGCGCTCCCTCTGGCCCACGTCCCGTGCACGGCCTCCCCATAAAGGAGCGTCTACGCATTGGGTTTCATTTCAAACCGGATAGCCTGACTACCAAAAACAGGCGGTTAGCTAGGGAAAAGCTGACCGACAGGATTCGGGAACTCGGTGCCTTGTGTTGTCCACTTACAGCTAGGGCCACGATAATTCGATTGCTGTTGTTTAGTTTTCTCGCGTACGTCCTGGCAAAGTTCTCATTGACCTTAGTACTTACTGAGGACGACACAAGCTGGTTTGCCCTGGAAACGTCTTTTCGAGTGCTTTCTGAGGACAACATTTGGTCTGGAAAAGGTCCTGTTAAGGATCTTTTGGGGATGACAAAAGCATTGCACTGAGCACTTAGATATAATTCCTGAAGGCTTTTGCGCACCAAGTAGATGCATTTCATACGTGAAAACTTTCTCCACACGTTTGTTTCTTACAGTCATAAAGTTATTGTATATTTCCGCCTCATTTTTTTTTTTTTGCGGAAAATTTTCAAATTATGCGTCGCACTTAATGAGAAACACGTAATCAATTAACTTAGGTATCGAACCTGGTATTGTGAAATGTCCATTTGAAACAGTGTGTTCTTAAATGTCACAGCCCTAAATTTGTCATTATACGTCGCTGTAGCGCGTAGTTACAAACTAGCAGCTGGAAACCATTGACTATGCGGCACCATTCTAGATAGTCAAGTAGCCAAGCCATTCCAAGCCAACTGACTGTCAAAATGGCAGCGGCAGTCTTGTCAGGGAAAGTGCAGTGAACTAGTGAAGGTTCGGGTCCTTTGTTGTTTGTGTGCATAGTTAAAAGTGAGATATGTGTGAGAGTGTAAGTCGTAGGTGATAACGGTAGGTAAATTGCCGTGTTGATGGGTGCACTGGGCTGCTCGACGTTCAGACTGATCATGGATGCATTGTCACCAGCCGACCGCGGCGAGGTGTGGTTCGAAGCAGCCTGGAACAACAGCCAATCGCGATCAATTGGGCTTCGAAGCAGCCTGGTCCCAACGTGAAAGGATCGACTTCTGCATCTGACACATGGCCCGACCTCGGGCAAGTCAAGTCAACGCCCGTGTCGAGTGTACTGATAGACTGTCATGCGGAGCCTCTAGCACTAGTGAGTGCATTGGGTGCGATACACGTGGTGATGAGGACACTGTGTCAAACTTTCGAAAAAGATTACAAACGTAGTTGATTGAGTTGTGTTGACTGCCCTGATACTGCTTTTCTTTTTTCAGACTATACGCGGACTCGATTGCCTGACAAAGCTGTCTATTGTGATTAATTACTGTTAAATAAATAAATTTGTCAACAAGCTTTGTTTGTTTTACTCTGATAGTCCAGCACTGTCACTTCTCTGTTGATTGATACAGTATATATACTCGAAACCTCGCAGGTGTTTTTCTTTTGATGTACGAAAATATCATGAAAAGAAGTAAATTCTAAGTAGTATCACTGCCCACAGTACCGAACCGGCCACGCTATCGTTGTTCTGAAAATATACTGAAAAGTCCTGAATTGTTGTTTTGAGGATGTGCTGAGGTTATGTGTATGGACAAGGGGACGGGTTTAGTGCCTTTCTAGTACCTTAAGAGGACATTCTGAGGGCGTCATATTGTCCTCACGAAGGCATACTGAGGATGTCCTGAGGTTGTGTTTGTGTTGTCTGGGATGTAGGTTCAGTTATGCCCGTTATGCCCCACACCAGGGCTCTCCTGGAGAATAAACTTTTCGGTTTCCTTTGGAGTCGCGCATCTGCGTGGTTGTCGCGCCCCGTGCTCAAGCTGCGCAGAGATGAAGGAAGACTCGGTATTCCTGACCTCTGCGTGGTGACCACGGTGCTACAGTTACATGGACACGGGTAGCTCTCGATTCGAATATGCTCCTCACTAGATGCTTTAATTGCGTCATATTTCCTAAGCACACGGCTGAGGCTGTTCTCGCCTGGGGCA